ACGTATGTGTTGTCCTATAAGCTAAAAAAAACCCACTGAGCCATGTTTACACATATTGATGGTTTACTTTTTAAATTCTTTATTTTTTGCACATTTTTAAATAGAATTTTAAAAAGAGTTTATCAGATAAACGTGAGTCATGTGATGTCTAATTAAAACTTACAGTTGATCCCAGAAGTTTTATTGAGAAACCAGAGGGAATCGCCACCACCATCATTTGCTCCATTCTTTTCCTGCTGTTTGTTTTCATGATGACATACGCCTGTTACAAACGGCGCCCTTGGAGAAAATGTCAGACACGGCGCCTTGAGTCGACGTGAGTAGGATTTTCCGCTTGGGAAATATTTTGTCGTTAACTATATTTCTGAGTGGTACCGATATATTCTTTATGACTAAATATAGTAATTAGTCCTTCCGTAATTTTACATGTATACGTAAAACAAGATCCTCTATATTATTTGTTTCAAATTTATAAAGCGAATTTAAGCTTAAATTTCGTTTTTTTTTTCTAAAGTTCGATTGAAAAACTCCCCTCCGCAGAAAAGTCAGAGGTGAGTTCAGAGACGCCGGAGGTTGAAAAACCACATGATACTGTTGAGTCTGAAGAGATGTCGTCTATGGCACAGCTACCGCGAGGACCGCTCCACGCCATTATGCCACCTAGTTGGAACGTCCATAATTTTCCTATTCAAAGTTACAAGCCTGGAGAACTGGCGAAACTTCTCGGAGCTCAAAACGAGACTGACCTAGTTCGTCTGCGAATGGAACTGAACGCTTGGCATCTTCATCCTCCACCAAAGAAAGACAATTTGCAAAGAAAAGAGGAACCAGAGATACAAGACGTTTCAAAAAATGATAAGAAATTCGAGTATAACTGGAATGTTGATGGTATTTTGCTGGTCAATTCTCTCATCAAACGAGAACAAGCAAACAGGCTAAATAGGGGCAACTTCCCCCAGTCATACCCACATCCGAACGCAACAAAGGTTCATAAAGACACTGTCATAACCAATAACAACGATGAAATAATCAAACGCAACACTGAAGAACCTATCAATGATAAAAATACATTAAAACCTGGAGAGGAATCATATATTAATTTGGATAACCATGACGTTGATGTTTTTCACTCTCTACCACCGTCACGTCAAGTAAACTATGCTAATATTCAGATGGTTAAAGATGTTATTGAACAGGAAAGGGTAGAGAAGAGAATATTGAGCAATTATGACCTAACCCAATCAAATACATAGTTATCCCAGTCCAGGGATTTATCAGCCTATTTTGGGAAACGCCATTTTTGGGGAATTGGGAAAAAATTATCGGCTATTTGATGAAATTGGGAAAAAATTTAAAATGTTGCTTATATCAATCATGTATTCAGGTGTAATTCATTTAACATTTCAGCATGAACTCTAATTTGGGCAACCAAACAGACAATTAAATATGATCCAACTTCATTAAAAGTTATCGTAACAATGTGATTTATTCATGATTTTTCCCCCCTCAAATCATGTGGCATATACATGCAATGGACAATAAAATGCACATTAATAAGACTCACATCCCAATTATCTATGAGAATGTCTCATTTTTCACTCATCCAAATCTGAATTTAAAAAATGGCTTGTTCGTCAAAGACAAAATCATCATTATTGATTATGAAAGGGGCAATGTTGTTTTGAAACGAGCGGAGAAAAAGAGACGGAGTATATATACGTTTGTGTTAGAGACAACGATCACTGGCATTAAGGAAACAAAGTTTTATTACAACTACAGGAGTGTTGATGCAGTCCACAGGGACCTGAAACGGGGATTTAAGAAAGATAACATATACATGTATATTCCCAAATTGTGCAAAACAGCGCAAACTGATTGCACAGAATAACGTAAACAGATGGACGGAGAAATTACATATTTCCGAGAAAATTTAGAGTTGTTATTTATATTTTAGTAGGGGGGGTGCAAAGAGGAACGTTATCCACGCTTAAAGTGCATTCAGTTGGTACATTTGCATTGAAAATTACGTAATTTTTCCCTCACACGGCTCATAAGGATATCGAATACCTGCCGTTCATATTGATCATAGGCGTCGTAAGCAAATTGAAAGTGGGGTGGCTAATTGAAAGTGGGGGGGGGGGGCTAAACCAACGAAAAAAGGTAAGCCCCAATTTTCAATGCTTATATTATGTCTATCTTTGAAAAAGGGGGGACTAAGCCCCCCCCCCCCGGTTCCGAAGCATATGGCTAGTACAGAAGTATTTAGCTACTGGGCTGTAGAGACCCTCGGGGCCTAAGAGTCCACCAGCAGAGACTGATTTAACAATACTTTTTTTTAAAATAATACTAATATCATGTTGCAAGTTTTGCATTTACCTCCCCCTAGCAAATTCAAAATTTACAACATGATACTAATACTAATTAAAACTTAACATCATCTTGCACAGAGTTAAACAATTTTAGTGCTTTAATTGTGATATGTATATGCCCTGATATCGCCGTACTTTTGCCAGGTACTATACATATTTTGAAGCATTTGCCACTCAAAACAGAAGCAACGTTAACAAATTAATAATTTTTTAAGTTTGCAAAAAAAGTGCACTAGTTTAGTTGGTGGCTGCATATTTTCTTATATATCTCTTCACAATTTAAGATTTTATTTAAAGTTTAATGATATAGTTTTAACATTTCACAAACATATATCTTTTCATTTTCACGTATATTTATTTTCACTTTAAAATGTTCGAATACTACTGGTCTTTCTAAAGAATAGATAATCAGATTGGTAGAATTTCTGTTTTAATAAGATCTATATTTTTGAATTTAGTACATCTTTGTCCGAGTGTTATGATTTTTAATTAATTAAAACCCACGTAAGGACAAAACACTTTTGATTACCAGATGTGCATGATTACCAGAAGTGCATTATTTGACTATAAACCAATTTTATTTGAATAACTTTCCATGATCGTGGAAAAAGGAACATTGCATCTGTAGTTCAAACACTTAAAGCTTCACGTTTACAGAATCATATATCAGATGTTTTCTAAACACGTGTTACCGTTCATGGTAGCTCAGTCGGTAGAGCGCTCGCTCCGTGATCGGGAGGTCGTGAGTTTGAATCTCGGCCGCGACTGACCCAATTCGATAAAAAGTGGGTAGCAACTGTTCCTTCGCCATGCGCTCGGCAACTTTGAAGTGAAAGTTGCGGGTCCTTCGGATGAGACCTTAAAAACCGAGGCCCCGTGTCACGGCAGGCGCTGGTACGATAAAGATCCCTCCCTGCTCAATGGCCCTAAGTGCCGAGTAAAGGTCAAATTGAAGCTCTTCACCGGTATAGGTGATGTCTCTATATGAGTGAAAAATTCTCGAATGGGACGTAAAACAACATACAATCAATCAAACTAAACGTGTTCATACAAAGTTTTTATTGAAATCAAATCAAAAATGTAAGAGGAAGAGCATTTTTAATTCACTCAAATTTCTACTGAGCAGCTATTGAAACACTATTCATTAAAATATCAAACCAATACAAGGAATGATGTTCTGTAAAATCACTTATTTTCGTGGGGTCGAATTTTTGTGGTTTGAGGAAAAAGAAATTGGTTCTAGGGAATCTGATTTCATGGTTGAAGAATTAAGATTTTACTATGTAGTTTTAAATTTCAATATTTTATGGAGGACATGAATTCATGGGTTCTTCATACCACGACCCCCCCCCCCCCCCCAAAAAAAAAAAAAAAAAAAAAATAGTGCTTTCACAGTATCTTGGTGGTGTCTGTTTATGTACCAAGCTTTACTGAAATTGAACCAAAAGTTTAATAGTGTTTGAAAGAAGTTCATGTGAATTTACATTTTAGTAACACTTCATAAAAATCACAAACTGATACAGGGATATATGTATCTTGGTGCAGTCTACTTGAATACCAAATTTTATTTTTTGAAATTAGACAAAAATTGTAGGAGTAGTGTTTTAAAAGTATTTCACATAGATGTCTATTTCAGCATAAAGCATGGCAGCATTATTCATCAAAATAAAAAAAAATCATACAGAAAGAAATATCTGTCTTGGTTTACCTGCGTTCCAAGTTTTCTTGACACCCGATCAAACCTGGAGAAGTATTCTGAAAGAATTTTTAAAAAAAATTCCATTTTTTTTTTCTTCACCAAAATTAAAAAAAAAAATTTAAAGAATTAAACGTGTACATTGGGGTGTTAGTCTCTTTATGAAAGAAATTCTATCAAAATCATACAGAAACTGTAGTAAGAATAGCATTTTGAACAAAAAAATGATTACAGTCAAACAGAAGGTTGATGGACACCTTATCATCGTAAAAGCTCTTCAGGGCCCCGTTTTACCAAAGAACTTATGACTGAGACCAAAATGTAATTTTGCAAATAATTTTTTTTATGAAAATAGTTTTAGATTTTTTAAAAGGAATCTAGAAATATATCCTTACACAGGCAATTTGTAATAGCATCATTGATTACAATACCCTAAAAGTTTTTTTTTTTTTTGGTCTTAGTCATAAGTCCTCTTGTTTTTGTTTGTTTGTTTGCTGTTTTACGCCCCTCTCGAAAATTTTCACTCATATGGAGAAGCCACCACTTGCCGGTGGAGAGCTGCAAATTTTGACCTATACTCGGCACTCAAGGCCATTCTTTTTCGTGCCAACATCTACTGCGACACGGGACCTCGGTTTATACGGTTTCATCCGAAGGACCGATTTCCACGTCCCACAGTGGGATCATTCGAACCCGCGACATAAGGATCAACTCCTTACTCCGCGACTCTAGAGCAGACGCTCTACCACTGCGCGGGCGACTAAGTCGTTTTGTAAAACGGGCCCCTGATCTCTTACTAATAGAGATAAAAGATAAAAACACTGTAGTAGTGATTACGCATTCAAAGTTAATGACATCTGAAAAAGCACATAGTTACATAGCATTTTGTTATATCATATCTGAATACATAATGCTGCATGTATAAACTACTGGAAGACTGTTTTGGTTTGTACTTTAATACAACTATTGGCAAGTGACTAGGAAAGCTGCAGTACGATGTCACCTGGAATATATAAGAATGACAAAACTCAAATTACCGGTACAAGAGATCAATTCTACTGTAATGCCATGTTTAATTACTAAGAAACTGAATCTGGACTCTGAATTGGCACTGATTGATTTCACTTTGATTTTCAAAACTGAATCGCGATTATTGAAATTGTGATTCCACCTCCTGAGGTTTCATTAAAGACAGGTGATGATGTTGATTTTGTGACCACATATCTTGAAAGGAGGATTTTCTGTATGTTCATTTAAAAAGTAAAAAGATTCTCCCCTCTCCCTTAACCAAGATAGCCAATCATCTAAATGAAAGTAACATAAATACTTGTACATGGACATATACATACATAACAGTAATTAAAATCCAGGTGTATTTTCACATTTGATTTTTTCAGTACTGATAGGCAAATCTGGATTTTTAATCTGGATCCAGTTTTCTGGTAATCAAACATGGCATTACAGTGTATCACAAAGCAAAACATCTGAATCAAATCAAATACATGTAGCATCGATGTAATACTGCAATTATATACCTAGCATTTGCATAAACATGTAAATCAAATCTACAACAACCACTGCATTTTACATACATTCTTAGTTATAACATTTTGTAACGATGTGGGCATGTATATACTCTAATATTTTTCATGGCCAGTTGTATGTTTCAGATCCAAATAAACAATGACAAAATCTTATCAAAAAGGGTCTAGAAACAATAATTTTTTTTTTCAAATACAGTAAAACTTGTCTAATACGGACACCACTGGTTCCAAAGAAATTGATTGGATCTGGATTAGGCAATATTTTAAACATTTGAAATAAAAAACTGGGGACTCAGAGTTTACACCATATTAGGCAAGATTCTGGAATACATCCTGATTAGACAAGTTTCATTGTACTTTACTCTCAGTGAATATAATTTTTGCTCCTCATTTCAAATACATGAAAATTGCATAGACAAATCTAAATAAAATAGATGTAAAAAATCAAATATTGTATATATATGATTTTTATTCATAATATGACTAAAATAAAACCTCACAAATAAGATGTCTTCCTGCCTGACATTATCTGAATCAAAAGAAAGAGGTGTTTGACCCCCCCCCCCCCCATCTCAATTGCATTCCAATTCATTTATGGTTAAACACTTTTAATTACAAACATTTCAGATCAGTTCTATTGTACTTTCTGTAAAATCACAAATCAAATGAAGATTCTTGTTCACTGGTTAATAATAAGGCATTTTTTGATATGTAGGATAAACCAATATTGCCAGTCAAACAATCAAAATGCACACAACAGCTGAGAAATATGTCCACAGCACAGTCTAGGTAAGTTTGAGATCCTTTGCCAGCATGGTGGCTGTTGTGTTGTGCATCTCCCCTCTGTGTGTCTGGAAGTTCTGTATGGCTATGGGTCTAGCTTCTTCCCAGCCGTAAAGGTCCCTAGGAAAAAAATATTGTTGAGGTAAATCAGTCTTAAATGAATGTACAAAATCAATCATGTTTCAAAGCCACTCTAAATTGCTGATCCAGTTGTCTTCATTTTATGCAGTAAAATTTTAAAAAATTCACATTAAGGTTTTAGATTTTAAGTTAAATTTCGATCCAGCTGACCTGAAGAGAAACCTGACAAATTTCTTGAAAGTTTTAGCTATAAATTTTAAAGTTTTATTTTGATCCAACTGACCTATACAGAGGCCTGACAAATTTCATCCTTCCTTGTTCATTTACAAAGTCCAACACCCTTGGAATAGCGTCTTTCCACTGGGCCTTGATACACAACCTCTGCCAGCTGCAGAAGAAAATATTCTCCAAGTACATGTATATGAAAGGCTAAATTTGTGAGTTCATTTCTTTGTAACCTTTTAAATTACAATTTTGTAAACATTGTTCTGAATCTTTGCTTGCTGCATGGATCAAACTTTTGACTATACCTGTTTTATAAATACATGTAATTACAAACCGAAATCTGACTTCTGAATTCCTGACAGCATTCAATTTATACAATTCCTCCATCTTCAACACTTTGGAAAGTGATAGTGGTGGCTGAAAAAAAGTCAGCAAAACCATAACTATAGAACATATCAGCTAAAAGATACATGGATGACATACATGTAGTCTAGTTTAATACTGTTTATTAAAAAGTTTTGACTTGATAACAAGTAAATTCTTTTCAGCAAAAAGTGCACCCGAATACATGTACTCTCTCATGTGCCTTAGTAAATTAAATACTGTTGAAATATTCTCAAATCATGTACAATAGACAGTAAATATTGTTGAAATACTCTCTAATCATGTGCCATAGACAGTAAATATTGTTGAAATACTCTCTAATCATGTGCCATAGACAGTAAATATTGTTGAAATGCTCTCTAATTATGTACCATAGACAGTAAATATTGTTGAAATGCTCTCTAATCATGTACCATACACAGTAAATATTGTTGAAATGCTCTCTCATTATGTGACATAGACAGTAAATATTGTTGAAATGCTCTCTAATCATGTACCATACACAGTAAATATTGTTGAAATGCTCCCTCATTATGTGACATAGACAGTAAATATTGTTGAAATGCTCTCTAATCATGTACCATACACAGTAAATATTGTTGAAATGCTCTCTCATTATGTGACTATTGTTGAAATGTAAATTTGTGCAATGATCATCTAGGGAACCTAAACAGATGAACATGAAATTCCTATCCCCTAGCACATACAAGACTAGCATGCTACTTTCTTTTTCCCTTTATTTCTTACCTCCTCCACCAGAAGAGCTAGGAATTCCCTGACCTGTACAGAGGTCAATGAAGTTAGGTCATTGGGTTTAAATTGGTCTAATTCATTCTCACCGGCTGACGACCATCTCTGAGACAGCTGTTTACAGGGGATCTCCAGACTGTCATCATACCTGTAATAAATCAAATGGGAATTTCATATGTCATTGAAATAATCTGACATGAGTGCCACATTGCAAAAGTTAACTTTGAGTAACTTTGTGACCATGTTACATTGTTGATATCTATTTTCATTATTTTTGTGTACAACAGAGCCATTACATGGGAATATTGTGGACAATGACACCAAAGACTTACTTTGGTTTAACGGGTGGCATTCCCTGATCATAGAACCATTTATCCCATTCCACACTGTCCAACACTTCCCTCTAAAATTGTACCATTTATACAATGTATTTACACAGATATTTTTCATCTGTAATGTCTTTAAAAAAAATATGACCTCAATGTTTGAATGTAGAAGATGAAAAATAAAGATTCAGAGCAAATCTGTGCTATTCAGTCATTGTTACCTTGTCAGTGAAATAGGAGTATAGGAAATCTTTCCACTGGTTCGAGTCTATAGACTGCTGTTTAAACTTCTCTATGTAGGCTTTCAAAAATTTTTCAAACACAGCTGAAATGTAAATTAAATTGTAATGTAATGAAATTTGAATTAAGTATATCATCTCTTGGCTTTTCTATGGTCAAAGCCCTAAAAATCAATGCTTAAAATGAAAACTAAAATGCAAGGTGCCAAAAAAAGTAAAATAAGGCTACTGAAAGGGTTTTACATGTATATTTAACTACTCCAGCTTATAAACATATACAGGTGACTCTCGATCTCTCGAAGTTCAAGGGACCGCAAGAAAAGTTCGAGAGATCGAGGGGTTCGAGAGATAGAAAGTGAATAAAATCCGGAATTTTCAGTTCCGATCATCATTGTTCTACTATAATAATACCGGAAGTATATGTTGATAATATCATTGCACGTTTTCATGCGTATTTTACAAGTAATTCACTTGATTTCAAAAACAATGATCGTATTTTGAATAAATAAAACGATCTCTTTAAGTTTCAATATTTATCTGTTCTCATTTCATGATTACATAAAACCTGAATAGCAATTGTCGGTGTGGCTACCCCCCTGGCTTGATCGGGTCCTTTACCAGATTTCTCGTATTAAATCGGTATTTAATTCTTGAGATAGGATTTCTTGTGCAGTGTTTGCATATTATGTACCTTCTAATAAAACTTCATAATCTATGGACAATTATTGACAGCCTCTTAAATTATTTTCTAAAAATTTTCGTCTCTCTGTCAAGTCAAAATAAGTTGTGAAGCAATTCATTTCTAATTTTCCAATTAATTATTTATATCAACACTCGGATGCTCACGGGTATATTGTCATCTATGTAAACACCCAATTAACACCTCCATGCCAACCCCAGGCGTTCACTGTTATCCAGGTAAGTCCAAGCTGCATTAATTTTACGCTTGATGGAGGCGCAATCAAAACTTCGAGAGATAGAGAGTAAAAAACAATGAAATGTGTGTAACGGGACCCAGGTCTTGGTTCGAGAGATAGAGAACTTCGAGAGATTGGAAGTTCGAGAGATCGGAAGTAAATTTGCTTAGTAATATAGAGGGAAAAAACGGGACCGGAGGTTCACTTCAAGAGATCGAGAACTTCGAGAGATCGGAGTTCGAGCCATCGAGAGTCACCTGTAGTATACTGGTACATGTATGTGGAATTTAAACAGAGTTCCATCTCACACTATATTGCAAACTCTACTAGGGCATCACATAACTGCGATACCTTAAGAATATATGCAAACTATGCATGGTGATTGTACCAAATCTTTAAACTTTGAACATATTAGAACCAGAAAGGCTTGTGATCCAGTGCAATGTCCATACAGAATACAGATTAAAATAAACAAACATACAAACAAAAAACATACATCATAGCAAAGCTCAAATGGAATAATTCTGGGTGCTGGCATCATGTTCAATTTTCCGTTAAAAATGCTGATAAAAATTGTGTATGTGTGTATGATAGCAGTATTACCTGGACCTCCCAGCAGTGTCTCCAGATGGAACAGCAGAGTAAAGCCTTTCTCATAAGGAACAATGGAGAAGGCTTCATCTGGATCCACACCCTTAAGATCTGGGATCAGTCGTGTGTGGGGACCATTCTTCAACACAACTTCCTGAAATAAAAATCAAGATTGGTCCTTTTTTCAATGTGAAACTGGCAAGATTTTAGAAAACATACCATTCAAATAAAACAAGTTTGTACTTTCTCTCCAAGTCATTGCATATTTATGTTTTTATTTACTAAAAAGCTCAGAAATTTAAAATATTACTACATGTACTAAATTAATAAGCAGATAGCAATAAAAATTGAAAATCTTTTAACGGTGCAGTCAAAACTGTCTTAGCGGCCACTTGAAATTAATTGCCACTTGTGACCTGTGGCCACTTTCAATTCCTCCCCTCCCCCGAATTTTCCTAAATATATTTTGACTGGAATAAATGGGTACTTCTGTAATGCAGTCACAAAGTTATTTACACTGTATTATGTGGTCAGTTCATCTGTAAAATTAAAAATCAGCCTTCATATTTCATGGCTATTTTTTTGAGTTTTATTTCAAAAAACCCTATTTTCATGTCATTCTTTATTACTTGGTTTAATTATCAAAAAAAAAAACTTCTCAAAATATTTTATCTATGATTAATCATGTAATTAGTACAATTTCTTCCTTCAATTCTTTTGCCCCTCCCAATGCCAGGAACTGACGAATTGCCTCACTGCCATGTAACCTTCCTGTGATCTTTCTCTCCACAAACATGGTGTGACCTTCATTTAACCTGTAAAGTTCAGAGGTCATCAACAAATTTAATGCACATCAGCCTTCCCATCAGGATAAATGAAGGTCACTGGCTGATTTGTGGATTTGAAGACAAGTTTATCACTGAAATTCCTCTCTGCTGTCCAACGAGCAGTGACATTACTCTGCTCTCCAACAAGCTGTGCAATTTGGTGTACTCATGGAGCATGAATATTTAAACATATTTTGATTTATATTAATAAATTAAAAAAAAAAAAGGTAAATACTCAGTTTTGAATTTTAAATTTACAATTGACTCCTTGAGATCTTTGGATCCTCCCAAGGCCATGAATTGACGGAGTGCCTCACTGTTGTGTAAACGTCCCGTGATCTTTCTCTCCACAAACACAGTGTGACCTTCATTTAACCTGAAAAGGTCAAAGGTTATAAATCTTTATCAGTGAAAATTATCAATAATCCAAAAAGTAACAAAGGCTAATAAAGGCTAATAAGACATGTTTGTGGAGTAAAAATCACAGGGACAGCTTCATCAATTTTAAGGTTTAATTTTTGTTCCTTGAAATCCCTCCTCCCTCCCCTTCGAAATGAAATTTTTTTCATATAATAATTTTTTTTCTCTCAATTTTTTATTAAAATTTTATACTAGTAATATAACTGAATGCAAATACTAAGTTTCCTGATAAGAACACTTTGTCTTTGGTATTTACAATTGTTTCTTTGAGTTCTTTAGCTCTCCCAATGGCCATGAACTCAGATAGGGGCACACTGTTGTGTAATTTCCCCGTGATCTTTCTTTCCACAAACACAGTGTGACCTTCATTCAGCCTGTAAAGGTTAAAGGTTATAGGTCAAGGACAGTGACAGAATATGTTCCCTACACTGAAGACACTTGACTGAAATATAAAAAATAAGCTTGCATGTATGTTTTAAATAGTTCTTTTTTTATTGTATAAAAACTATTTTGCAGAAATGGTGTACCCAAAATTTCCATGTTTTATATATATATATATATATATATATATATATATATATATATATATATATATATATATATATATATATATATATATATATATATATATATATATAACTTATAATATATAACAATTTATAAGATTTTCATCTTTCACTTTACACATTATTATATATTACATTAGAGGAATATGAGTATACTTTTTCACTATAAACATGAAAAATGTTTAGCACAGTTCAGATATTTATGCTTACTGGGGTACACTATGAAATTTTTAAAGATTTTAGAACTCAAAATTCTCTCAACTTGGTCAAATAACAGGAGACTAAAATAAATTCACTTCAGTTTAAATAGTTTTCTTATGTGCTAATCATTTTGGTTTTGCTATTCTATCTCATTTTGTTCAGCATTTCATTACCAGAAGTGTTCCCAGTTTTTGTTGGTGACGAGATTCCCAGTCCAGCTATGAGATATTTCGTGAGCCACAACATCAGCCAATGATTTATCTCCTGCCTGTAAAAGATGTGCGGAATGTCAAAAGATGGACTTTGGAACCAAATTTGAACACTCATAAAAAAACACGAGTTTTTTGTGCAATTTAAGTATTAAAATATCTTACTTTTGAAGGTGTAATGTGTACACATTGAAATTTCTTGATTTGAGAGATCACTGCAAGAAAGTGCTTAAATTTACCAGAAGTGTTGGGGTCACAAAGGTCAAACATGGATTCTCCATTCCTCCAAAGGGAAAGGATGGAGGCAGTACAAGAAGGTCATACTGTCCCCAGATGTAAGGCCCCAGTAATGCTTCAGCAGTTTGTATCATCTTCTCTGTCTGTCCAATGAAAAATTGACATGGTCAATGTTCACAGAACATCCAATAAAACATCCGATGATAATTTTGTCCTACCTCTGAAAACTCTTCGGCAGCATCTTCTACCATCTCTTTCTCTGTCCATACTTTGGATCTTGGTCCAATTTGCCTAAAATTACAATGAATGGAGGTCTCTAATGAGACTGTAGCTCTGTTGATAGTGGAAGAGGAAGGTTGAACATGGACTTGCAACACTTCAATTTTAGTTCAGCATTTAAACATTTATGTACAGTAGCTTGAAGTTTTCTAAACATGTATCAAGTTTAATTGAAATCAAATCAAAACTATATAAGGAATAGCCTTTTTAAAAGAATTTCACTGATAATTTCATTTTAGTAACCATGGCAACATCATTCATCAAAATAAAGAAAATATAATAAAGAGAATTTTCTATCTTAGTGTAGACAACTTATACATCAAGCTTTCAAGTCTACTCGTGTAGCAAACTCAATAGACCAAACCTGTATGGAGAGTACATGTAGCATTTTGAAATTTCTATTTTTCTTAGAAATAATTGCAACAACATTTAAAAAAATCCAAATCTGATATATATTTTATAGCTTTATGTATCTTGTTGTAGCCATTTATGTATCCAGGGCACTCGATTCTCTATATTTGGGGCCGTTCGAAGGCCCCATTCCCAATTCAAAAAGGCACCTTTTTTCCCAATTGAAGGTGTTAATTTTCCCAATTTTTCACTTCCCAAAATATTAAGGAACATATAGTAAATATATAGTTACTAAACTTGTAATTCATATTTCTCTGCATTACAAAGCTGAAATTTAGTTGATAACAACCACCAGAAACTCAATATATCATGAATTTAATGTATAATGTCTAGTTATGATTTTCCAAAAATTACCCATAAAGTCGCTAATTTTCCCAATTTTTATGGCCCCGACCCCAGTCCTAAAAAGTGGTATGAGAGCCCTGGTATCAAGTTTTACTGCAATTAAAAACTACTGGGAAGTATAATTTTGAAAAAAAAAAAAAAAAAAAAAAATTATAGAAATTTCTATTTTTTGTGAAAATTGCAACATTAATTTATCAAAATCAATAATTCATGAACAGAATTATGGATCTTGAATTAATCTACTTGTGTATCAAGTTCTATTGAATGAGAATAATAATTTTGCTTTGAAATACATGCACACAGGTTTTCTGCAAAATATTCTGAAATCAAGAGTAGTTGCCCTTTAAAACAGAATACTCTCTCTCTCTCTCTTTATTTAAAGTGATCCACATTACAATCAAATAACTGGAGTGACAATAATGAATTTCCACAATTAAAATAAGAAAATTGTGAGACCTGTTCCATCATTATTTTTCAAGTGACTGAAAAGTGGTGGTGAACAAAGCTAATATAGAAGATATAATTTTTGACCATCAAACAAAACAAAAGAGTGTTCCAGAAGCATAGGTGTCGTCTGCTTTACACTTATGCATGCACTGGAAATTCATAAAATGTTGCATATTACTGTGAAGATTGTAAGACAGTTCTGCACAATCCTCTGTTTGAATGAATGGAACAACTTTACATCCACCCAGAGACCACCAGAAAAACTTATCTCTGTACACACCATGCAGGCAGCAAATATATTTTAAAAAATGTCATAATCTCTTCCAATGCATGTCAAATCTTTATATACCTTGACTCAAGATCTCCTCCTACTATAGCAATGAGATAAGTAGGGATGGGAACTTTCTGTTCAAACTGGTGAACCAGTTTACTGCTGTCTGAGGGGTGTGGCTCTGGGTCTAACCTTACTGCACTCATCAGGATGGTTATGTCCCTTGGGGCTGTAACCTATTAAAACAAAGCCATCTAAAGATTTACTCTAGCAAACAATAAAGCTGTATTAATATAAATGATTATGAAATTCAATGAATTTTTATCACAGTGCTGAAAGGTATTTTTGAGACCCAGTCTATCTTTTACCTTAGCTGTATATGGAACTTTAATGGCAGGTGTGTCCTGACACGGTACCATACTTCTGGCATGAATTGCCTGTAATGTTTAGAGAGTGATAGCAAGAGGAACTCCAGAGCAAAATAACACACATACATACAATATATCAAATTTTAAAATGGTACATAGTATAAATTTTTTTTTACTGAAACAGTAGTAATGTTTAAACTAGTTTGAGAAAACATAAGTTTCATGCTATAACAAAAAATTCATCTCTAAAAACTCATATATTAAGGGGAAGAAGGACCTTGAGCTGAAAAAATACTTGTCATTCAATTTTTTTTATATTTTGTATATTTCTAATTAACTATGTCCCACATATCTTAAAGCAGAAATATCATTAGGTTTCTGACCTTATTTTCGAGATATTGATTAACAAATACTATGTCCTGCAGTATCTAAGTGGAGTTTTAATTCTCCATGTTTCCGGGCTCATTACTCTGTCCACAATGGGATTTTTTAAGCATTTATAAAAAAAATATGTAAGTGGACATGTATCTTTTAAAATATTTTAGAGTATGAATAGGGTTTAAGATTCGAAAAAGCAAGTTTCTTCTATCACTCTGCATCTGGATAGGGAAAATTACGTACTTTTTAAGACAACTTAAACAACATAAAACGTAATTTACAAAAAATTCTATCATTCAATATTTTTAAATTTACCTTGAAATGCAAGTCCTTCGTATTATTGATTAACTGTAAAAATTTCGAATGGTGAAGCTGACCTCAATATTGCACAGGACATCGTGAAAGAAGGCATAAGCATGACAAAACCGTGTCATGTTTATATTTCCCGAGTACGGGAAAAACCAACTATGACGTCACATGTAAGCTATATAAGCGAAATAAGATATACCTACATAAGATTTCCGTCATCAGCAATGCAAAAATAATTTTTGCGTTCCCCGTTTCTCAGAATATTTCATCAAATACTGATTATGACCTGTTTTTACATAAAAATACCGCCCCTGTATTCACCGAGTATGATCTTGCTGTACTAACAGATCGTGTATGACGTCACCGACTTTTTGGACGCGCAGTTTAGGGAAACAGAGGAGTGGATCAAACAATTTCATAATTTGTTAATGTTTACAAGAATGTTAAAACTTTTTATTTTTTATACATAAGATGGTAATCAAAGTAAACAAATTGTCAAAAATTAATACAAGAACTGATGCTTTACACGTTTTGCACTTATATAAACGGAGACTATGACGTAGTTAAACAGAGTCATGTGACCATGTGTCCTTCATCCCCTTAAATGTTTTGTTTATCATGGTTTCATTTTTCACTCTTTGTGTTTTGAACTTTCATTTTATACTCTTTGAGTGTTGAATTTCCTTTCAACTGTAGAGTTAATTTATCATCTGACAAACCTTTAATCAGAGCATAAAACAAGATAATTTCACTTATTTCCTATACTGTTGAGGTGTGAATCTAAATATTGTTGTACCTGGCACTGACTGAACAAATATGGCTGCCGTTTTCCTGCTGTCTGTTCTGGTCTCAGCCATTGTAGAGCAGTGCATTGTGGGGAGGTCTCATAATACACTCGCACTTTGTTGCTATTAAAAAATTGTCACTAGTGATGAAATTCAACATAAATATTAATGCTATCTAAAGAAAAAAATTTTTAGATTCACCCCAAAGCTTTTTTCTAATATTCATGTCTAATTTGCCTTTTGAACTTGTAGTATTTACTTATCAAAATAATAGAACTTTCCATTTACTCAAATAAAAAAATAAAGAACTTCCTGTCCTCCTATATATACCCATATTAGTCACTGTGTTGTTATGCACAAAGGAGTAAAAAAGGAAATTCTAATTTAGACTTTATAAACAATTTCTAGTGTTAAAATCCTTCCTCAACAATAAAACTATATTTTGTATGTGAAAACTACTGTGAAATCACTCATTTTCATGGGAATTTATTTTTCACTGTTTTTGTGGTATGAAGAAACATGTGAATTCATTCCTCACAAAATGTTAAAATTACATACTACAGTTTCATGTTTCCTCTTCAACCATGAAATCAAATCCCCATGAACCAATATTTTTTCCTCAAACCACTAAAATTTGTTCCCACAAGAATGTGTGATTTTACAGTACTCTGTGATACACATGTACTAAGTCACTCCACCTTGTAGATGAAGACACAGGAAGCTGGACCTCTAACTTGGATCCAAAGCTCCCTGTGCTCTCTCCTAGGGTATATTTCAGCTCCTGGCAGTTGTCAGCATCAGTGATTTTTTGGATAGACACATCTCTGGTATCTAGTATCTGAAAAAAACATTATAATTAAAGTACACAATTTAAGATATAGTTACATTTGCATTCTGCTCGAATGCAATCTGTTACATTCTGCAAACATTTCATTTGTGGCAGTCAAGCAAGTTTGTTTGCTGATGGCCAAATAGCTCAATTGTTAAAGCATCTATCTTAGGTTCAGCGGGGCCTGGGTTTGAATCTGGTCCATCACATTTTCTCCCTTCCTGTTACACAATCAATCCTATCAAGTTTTACTTACCAGGTTCTGTACTCCATCCTTCATTCTTTGCACTGACAAGTCCACATATCCACATAATTTTCTGGAATCAAAATCCACCTCTAAGATAAGGTCAAGGCTGGTTACTTTACACTCATCTGGCCTTGAAAAGGAGCAGGGGTCCTCTGGGCTTAAAGCTGCCATGTTTAGTCAGTGTCTATCAAAGAAAATTACTACTGATCTGCACCACAAACAAAAATATGTAGTAACTGAATAGACTGATTGATATAACTGTTTTTCACATAGTTGCAATCTTTGTCTCACTAATAAATACATGTGTGTTGTTTTGTTGGCTTGGTAGCTTAGTGGTTAGAGCACCTGTGTTGTTTGCAGGACATTTTTCAGTCGGCAAACAGAGTTTTGATGCTGTTTATGGAGATAAAAGAAATTAAAGACAAGTATGCCATATTTGGTTTTTTTTAGATAAATTAGCACAGAAGACAATGGTAATAAACAGTTTGTCATTGCATTTTCTCCGATAGTGTAAACAACTGTGATTCTGGGGGGGGGGGGGGGTACTCCATGTAATTCAGAGTTAGATATCTTGTGTTATTATTATACTATGTGTCAATGAAAAATATTTACAGATAAGCCTGTGGTAGGTAAGTAATATTTCAGAATTTCTAGAGTTGCTTCGTAATGTGCAGTGAAACACATAATATTCAAACTGGTGTTTCTTCTGTGATTTCATGACCATCATTATTCATATAACTGCAACATTATTTTGTTTGTTTTTGTTTTTGCGAACAATGAAATGTTTATTTTCTGGTCCTATAAAAACCTACTTTCACTTTCAAAAAATAATTTACATCTATACTTATTCTTCATAAAAAGTAAAATGATATCAATATATGTAAGACTTTTACATTAATGAATTGCATGCTTTTCCCTCTAAATCTAATTTACCTAGGTCAATGCTCACAAACTGCTGAAATCAATGTTTTAATACCAGCACCATAACAGAAAAACCCAACAGGAAGTGGATTCCATGTGGTGTTTTTGAATTTCCGCTGCGCGAAATGTCACGTGACAACTCGATACAGCAGTTAGTTTTATGTAATGGAGAGTGAACTGTGAATGTTCGATGGAGTGTATTAAAATTGAGGTAGGATGATTTATTTTTTTAAAGTATATGATGTTTAGCTTAATGTCAAGTGTTTTCTTTATTAAATTACGAGCTTTTAAAACTTTAAAGAATATGTATTTAAAAGGATGTTTACATATCTTCCATGGTAACTACACCAAATGTAAAATTTTGATTTTCTTTTTTCGTTCTTTATATCAAATGTGTATGTCATCGTAAATGCATAGGCATTTTTAGATCATGAGATTTATTTCGAAATTAATAATTTTTTTATACAGTTGTTTAACTCGCGGTGTAGTTTTTAAAAATAATCTATATTCTGTAACAAGCACATGAAGCTTTTTGCGAAATAAAACAACAGGAGTCCCTCAAATCGTTAATTATTGATATTTTTTTTAACATAGATCTCTGATGCAGAATGATTTAAATTTAACTATACTCTTAAATTCCACGAAATTTTAAATTAGAATACACATCTCATATTTGATTACTATGTATATTTACACAAATCGAAATTAAAGAGATCATGTTCAGATGAACATATGAAAAAGGGATTTTTTACCTGTATACAAAAGAACACATTTATTGCAAACTTGAACAAAGCCAATCCGTGATTTGAAGGAAGTGATTTTTGGGGTCCTACACAAAAAAATTCTGGATGTAAAGAAATGATATATATGGTGTGACTAGGGTTGGATACCGGTACTCGGTACCAATACCGTACCGAATAGTTACTTCAAAAATACCGGTAAAATACCGTTTCATTTAATAACGGTACTAATAACGGTACTTCTTAATCTATAAAACATTTTAATACATTCAATTTGATTTAAAAAAAAACACATTCCAAACTTGCTAAAATCGAATTCTCCGCTCATTGAAAGGGTAGGCTAATTACATGTAACGAAATGGATTCTTAGAACGATACTTACTTTTGACTCCAATATTCGAGGTAAATCAATACGTTTATTTAAAAAAAAATATCAAAATACATTCACATGAATCTTATTTTAATTTTACAAATAAAAACTGATAATAAATGTAAATTAAAAAGGCAAAATGTCGCAAAAATGTGATCTATCCATTATATAATGTTTCGTCATTTAGTGAGACCAATCAAAAGGGGTCCTGGCAACCGGGTGAAGCAGTGAGCCGATTTATGCAAATTAATTTGTTTGGGATTCTATTGATTTGTTTTGTTGATCATTATTAAAAGGTTGAAATGAAATGTTTGTAATTTGAATATTAGGAATATCTTAAAAGCATGGTACAAAGTTTATAAGCTCATTTTATATTATATCATTCAAAGGATAGTGAATGGTGAAAGCACATTTGTCATAAAATGAACCCTCATCCTCATTCATCAATGCATAGTACCGTATCGTTAAAAATACCGTATCATTTCAAAAATACCGGTATGGTATCGTACCGTTTCATCCTTAACGATATCCAACCCTAGGTGTGACAATCAGGTGGCCAGATATCTCCATTTGTAGAGCACCTGACTAGTCAGGGATTCAGGGGGCCCCGGGTTTGAATCTTTCTTTTCTCCTCCCAGTTGCAATGGAATCAATTTCACCTGTCATAGACACTGATGAATCACTGTAACATGACTATATATGTCCAGTAAAAAATTACATACCGGTACATTAAATAAACAAATTAAATGTATGTAAGTTGTGTTTGATCTGCATATCCAATTGATTACAAGAGTAAAACTGCATGGGAAATAAAAAAAAAATGTATGGGAATCAGTGTTAGACAGATATCTTCATTTAAACGAATTTTATGCACAGTTTTAAAAATTTTAGAACCAAAGCAGAATTATATATGTACACATTTTCATGGATATGTAAGATATGAAGCTGGATAGAGATTATTATTTTCCCATCCTTTTGCCCACACTCTTCTACTAATCCATGTAGAGAATTTCCCAAAATATCTAGTATGGTTTTGCAGAGTTTTGAGAAACATAAGTAGATCTAGTATAATTTCATCAAATTTATATTAAATTTTTCAATTTTTCAGAATACCTTGCGAGGGCATTGGTCCTATTGGAACATCTCTTTATTATATTTGTCAGGCATTTTAGTGATCATTTGTCAGTTGATTTGTATTTCTATACAATGATATCAAGTGTTTATGACAGAAAAACCTTTTGACAGTGGCTTTCTCTGTTCCCTTTAATTTCTTGATCAAAACAGCTTAAAATCAAAATTTTAAAGTGCTTAGGCAATTGATTTAAACCTGTCTATAGAAATGCTGTCTATGCTTTTGATAAGTTTTGGTTACTTCATGTCGGCATGTGTTTGACCCTTTCTTTAAATGTAAGTTGTTTTTTTTTCTTCAGGTACTTACCATGCTTTGGAAGAATAAAGGAAGATTACCTTTGTACAACTGGATTAACAAGTGAAAAAAAATTAGTTCATATAAGTCTTCAGTCCATGCTCAAATTTAACCCCTTGGTACAAGTGAGAGTATTATAATGGTCTATTTTTTTGTGGAGTTATATTCTGTAATACCACAATGAAAGGAGTTAGCTAATACCATTTGAGATGTGAAAAGAACAAATTAATCAGGTGTTTTCTAATCTGGATTTAAAATGGATCAACTGTGTGGTTTAGAAAATAGTTACGATTTATTTATCGCTAGTACGCAACTCACAAGCAGTGTGTTTCTAGTGTCTGTGTTCGGAAATATTCCTTTGTTTTAGATGAAATTTTTTACTTTATTTGTACGAGGTTTCTGACATAGCGAATCATGGGGAATAAGTGTAGTCGGAAAGAGGCTGACCCAGATTCGGCTTGGAAGCAACAGAACAAGGAAATTGCGACAAACCCGGTCTATAAATTTGTCGATTTTACCGGTGGAGGGAAGTTGATCGAGGCTTATAAGACAGGTGGTGCCCCGGCTGTGGAAAAGATTGCAAAAACGGAGATGTTACCGTACTTGTACAATGAAGGAAATGGTGCTATTGTAACTAAACTAGACTACATAAAATGGCAATGCAGAATGCAAGCAAAGTATACGGTAATACTTTTTCTTTAGTTTGTTCTTTATTACTCACATTTTTAATTAATAGTCATCTTTAAAAAAATGCCAAGCTAGTGAGCTTTATTTCAAATACTTGAAATTTTTAATCTTCAATCTCTATAAATATCTTCCACGTATTAATGTACGTAATACAGTTATTGAATTGCATTGTTCTGGAGTCTCGAAACTACAGTACAAATACACAATCCAGAAAAAAAAAGTGAAAATATAGATGTGCTCTTTTTTTTAAATGGTAAACATAGTAAAGAGAAACATTATGCATGCAGCCATTAAACAACTTTTATGTTCTTCCCTTTATTATTCATTATCTAAAAAACGTGACAAAAACTAACTCATTAATTTAATAAAAGGACCATATTATAGCAATTCTATATTTATCTATGTACAAATGAAGTAAATTCGTCCAAAAAACCATTTGCAACCCACATATAAAACAATTTTTTTTAGCATTTTGATGTATGTTTTATGTGTCACACAAGTTTTAAAGTAAGGTGCTTGCGCTCATTAAGTTTCATAATCTGCTTGAAAGGTATGTTTTAATGAGCTGTGTATCAATAGAGAACAATTACGGATATGATACCTATAATTGGGCTTTGTTTAATGGAGCAGAAATCTATAATTAGTTTGGTATCCACGTCATCAGTGCGGACCGGCAGGCAAGTAAATGTTTGAATGCTGGAAATTCAAAGTAATTGTATCAATAAAAATCAGGGGGGAAAAAACGAGCAGTGGTTTGCAAAAGAAGTTAGACATGACGCAATGGCTCATTATGAGAAAAATGATTTTAATGCCCTTTTGATAAATTTTCTGCTGGAGGACCTATAATGAAATCAAACTGCTTTGAATTAAGTGTCCTTGAGTTTAAAAAGCTTTTTTTTTTGGTGCCTCTGCTGGTATCTAATTCTCTGTGGCTGATCACTACCTTAATCATGACAATTAGACATGTTCAGAAATCGCATTGATTTCATTTTATTGATTTTGCTATTATAACCCAGTGTTAGTCGAAAAAAAATATTCCCCTAATTTTACTGTTTGAGTATTCCGAAGAAAAATATATTAACATGTAAATAGGTCATATAGTTATTGACTTATTTGCCTAGAAAGGTGTTTTTTATTAAGTGGCAATAATTTTTAACTCATCAAGAAGACATCCTAATGGAAATATTTAATCCTAGTAATTTGCATGCAAATGCATGTTCTTTGGGTTTATAACAAAGAGCAAATAATGTGTCTGATGCAGGTCCATTTAAAATTTTTATAGAAATCTGTACATGCAGTATGCTTCAAATCTGTGAAAGCTGGGTTTCAATTCAACATGTTTAAGGAAAATATTTCCAATCGGCGTTATGGAACATTAATATTCATTCAGTAATTACATTATACTGAATATAGAAGAAATTTTAGTGAGAATTCAATTTTGGCATTTTTAGCAAGAGTGTTAAGATTGCTAAAATTGAATATGTCCATAACAATTCATTCCACATTGGAGGTTACTGTTATCATTGTTGGCATATAATAAAATCATTAAATTTTAATACTGATTTTAAGGACAAATCGCTAAATTTGCTTATATGGTAGATTATTGTTTTTTTTTTTTTTTTTTTTTGATTCATGAGTAGAACAGGAATTTTTATGTAGAATTAGAGTAAAATAGCAAAAATCTATAAAATTTTGAAGAAGAACACTTACACAGAAAGTTACTGTTACAATTGTTTCCTGTATTTCTTTCACAAGTCTCTGTCTATAAGAGTTTTGGATATGATCTGTGAAAAACAAGTGTCAGATCCAAATTCATACTAATAGGTTAACATGGTCAAGATCAAAAGCTTCATAAGAAGAAAAATCAGAAAA